TTATATACTTGAATAAACTAAAGACTTGTAAATATATAGCAACCAAATAACATTCTCGCTACAATTTCTCATATTTATCGCATCACTTACCGCATGCCATCGAAACCATCATCCGAGCCATTTATGGTGAGCACAGGCGCACGTGCATATGCTTTCGCTACGCGTCGATTGCGTTCGAAAACAATCACTTTRGCCCAAATCTCATCATCAATTTGTGTCCATTTATCCAAAACTTCTTGTATGTGTTCCTGCAATAGAGAAAAAGAAATGAGTGGAAATTAGCAAGAGCGCAAATTTGAGCCAAACCAAAATATTAAAGATATAAAACGCTTGACAAAAGACTTAAGCAACGAACTGGTTGCTGATAATAAACCTTAACTTAAAGCAAATCAAAACACAAACAAAACAAATGTAATATTTTTATTCGCCAAACACTTGCGCTGGCATGTATTGCTTTCAATCTTATTACAAAATTCGCACTTTCATTTTCTAACGCTCGCTATTGTCAGCAAAAGTGCAGCAAAATTAAAAAAAAATACATAAATTGCAACAGCCGAGTGCAGCTGGTTTGCATAAATGCACACACACATAGAAAGATACAAATTTATAGAAATATATATATGCATAGGAATACATTTATACACAGTAATATACCACACAAGCATAAGCAAAGCMGCTCCTAACGCTGGCAGTTTGTGCTTACGGTGCTTTACCGTCAATATTGCCATTCCTGTTGYTGCTATTGTTGCWGTGAACGGCCTTGCGTGCAATTTAACTTTTACTCTTAGTGAGACAGCAACTACAACAACATGTGGCTAATCTAAAATGTATCACAGCAGCAAAGTGTTGCAGCCGCCTGCTGTCGTCGGGTTGCAAAGCGTTTGCTTGCCGAATGCGTCCGTTTGCCATTTTAGTTATTTTTCATATATTTTGCTTGCATGCGCTTATTTTCTCGCTGATAAATGGCTTGGCGCATATTTGCATGGCTGTGTTGCATTGCGCCCACAGCTGCTCGCAATATTATTGTGGTTATAATTTTTGTTTGCGAGCAATTTGCTCARTTTTCTGAGTGTGAGTATATTTTCTAACTTTTTTTTTTGCAAAAAATAAGGCATGTTATCAATACACAAGTGTTTATAACAGTATATTTATATATCCCGATTGCAACCACATTTTTCCCCCTTGCTTCATGCTCAGCTGCACTGATCTCATTTCATTTCATTTGATTTTTCTCTTTTACATTGCTCTAAGTGCCATTATTTACAGAGCTCAAGGGTTTTCRCGATAAATTTTTTACTTTGTTTATGGCGCACCAATTGTGTGGCATTTATCAGCTTATCTGTTAAAGGCGTTTTCACCTTTTGCGGCGAAAATGATAAGTTTCTAAGCATATTCGAATGTTTCTTTGTATTTTCAGTGAGACTTTCTTTATTGGTGCTCTGTAAATATTAGACTTAAGCAACGAACTCGACTGAAGTTTTTTGGGTAAAAATGCGCTAGATGACGCTGTGATGCAATTTTAGCAATTTTTGTGTTTTTCAAAGAAAAATAACTAATTTACTTTTAAAAATTATATTTCAATCTATTAGTATTTAAAAAATTTTGTACTATAATATAAAAGGCAAGCAGGAAAAAAGAGACAAATTTATTGAAMTTTAGTCTCGGAGAAATATGACTCAATTTTATTTGGCAGTATAATGTTTGAATAACAACAATAATGAAACATTAGTTCAATACCTTTTGATCAACCTTAAACATCTAAAATGAGTCATAGGTTCTTCTTTCATAAGCCTTGGTGAAGATCTCACATTCCATTCAAACTACGACTCTTAGCATAGAACTTATTCAACAACTAAGCGCACAAGCGCGATCTATCTGATTGCAAAAAAAACAACACAATTTAAATTTAACTTCAAATAGGACAATGTAAGTACTGCTTGCACAGAGAGTTCATCAAAATAAAGAAGAAAAATTATAAAACACCTAATTCAACCTTAATTCATAGCCACAACAAAAATTCAGGCTGGCGATGACTTACTGCAAAAGCTTCACACACACTTTAGTAACCTCTGCTCGGCTTTTGTTCTGCTTTTATGCTTGATTCCGAATTCAGCATATCTAAGCAAGCGATTTTCGTAGGTGCAGCAAGTGCACGTTTTTGACAAGCGCGCCCAAACAGTGAACTCTGTAGGAGCATTTTATTGGCCGAAATGCGAAAAAATTTATGAATTTTGCAAACAAATTTTGATTCTGGATGAAAATATTACTTTCCTACATTGATGGAGATAAATTTGTTCATTTATTTAATAAATTTTGCTTTGACATCCTTTACTGAGAATGCTAATTAATGAAATTTATAAAAAAAACAAACTGATGGTTCATTCAAGTAAAATATATGTTCTTCAGTCGATCTTTGGGATATTAAAGTTTACCCGAAATTTCATGTCAATATCGACTATACTATATACTATAGTTTAGTAWAAGTGTACTACATAATAATAGTTCAGTTTGATATTATGCGGATTATTTCAAGTTAGCAGCTTTATCAAGAATATTTCCTAAAGAAATTTATACTTCCTTAATCAACATATGGATATTCGTATTGTTATATCGCACTGTATTTAGAAATTAGTTTAAATAAAAGAAAAATAGTAATTCTACTGAAAAAAATGTTTCTGTATAAAACTATAAAATTCATTACCTGATTAAATTTGGTAATCTTATTCTAAGAGTGTATTTGGTTATGGTGTTATTTAATTAAAAAGGTAGACCAGTGGCAACTCTCTTATAAAAATTTTAAACTCCTTTAGTAAGTTCCTCTAGTTTGAAAAAATTTTCAACTCTAAACATTCTTAAATTATAAATGATTAGTCCCCTTTAATTTGAAATGTATATTATAGAATAAAAATGTTCAATAAAATTTTTCGACTTTTCTCTTGAGTTCTCTCTTGTACAAAAATTCTATTTATCTTTTAGTTTCCTCCACTTTGAAAGGTAATTTATGAAATATTTTAATATAAAAAAGTGTCGRCTCTCTTATAMAAATTTTCAATTTTTTCTCAAGTTYCTYCAGYTTGAAAGATAATTTATGATATTTTTTAACACAAAAAGGTGGCAACTATTCTAAAAAAATTTCAACTTTTTTCTCAAGCTCATCCGGTTTGAAAAGTAATTTATGAAATTTTTTTTAATAAAAAAGGTGGCAAATCTCTTAAAATTTAATCTTAAAAAGTCCTCTTATAATTTCACTTTAGTTACTTCCTATAAAATAAYTTTGATGCTGAATTCGTATAATTTACAGAGAGATTTGAATATTTTCTTATAATATCCACGCCTTCTGTTTCAAAGCTGTGGTACTCATACTCGCCGACGTATATAAATTGTTACTGGCCTCGCAACCTTTAGTAGTTACTTACATACAGACAAGCTAAATAGTTTGTACTACATATATATGGAATATATTACCAGCTTCATGTGTGTCCATATAAAGAGATAAAAATGTAAATAAATCTAGTGACTAAACTGGTTAACCTTTTCATAAAATTTTGTATCAAATTATATAAAACTACATTATTTATATGCAAATGTATATGTATGTGTTTGTCTGTTTGAGTATGTCTGCACATGTTTGCATACATTAGACATTCTTGTCTTGGCTTGGCATTGTGTTTTGCAAAAATTTTCATACCCTCAACAGGTCATACGAAGTTRAGCTATCGATAATGCTTTTCACACCACGAAGCTACCCGTTTATCGGAACCGCYGAAATCGGACTAGTATRGAATATAACTGTCATACAAACTGAACGTTCGCAGTCAAGTACTTGTATGAACAACTTTTTGATTTGAGGAGATATCTCCATGAAMTTTTGCATGGATCATTATTGAAAGAAATRATGTTATCTTCGAAGAAATTCTTCMGATCGGTTCACTTAAGCATATAGCTGCCATGTAAACTGATGGTTGAAAATCAAGTTCTTGTAAGCAGAACTYTTTTATTTGATGAGATTTCTCTACGAAGTTTGACTTGGGTACCAAGATAACGGTACATTTTCAGAACATATTTTSMAGATCGAACCACTATAGCTTATAGCTGCSGTACAAACTGGCYGACCCAAATCACCATAAATTTATTTTCATACCCTTWGAGCGATAAAAATGCACCAGTGRWGGGTATTTTARCTTCGKTGCAACYAATGTTAAYATATCTTATTTATTTTTTCTAAGTTTAACTAGTTTTAGTTGCTAATTTTTTATAGTAAATAGTTATTTTTTATTTTTTATGTAGTCATTATTTTTTTAGTGTTTTCAAATATTATTTTACTATTTGCCTACAAGACAGAAGACATAAAAACTAAAGCACATGGCTTCAATTTCATTTTCATTTGAATAAGAAGAAGAAGAAGCACKCCAAACTCAACACAAATCGGCAAGTGTTGTTGCGCGTGCTGTTTGTATGTATGTAAGAGTGTATGCATATGGGACACCAATACAAGAGCAACATAAATAGCATTAAAATAATAATCTTGCCATCTGCCGCTACTCTTGTTGTAGTTATTTTTGTTAAATTTTTTGCTTAGCGCTCAGCTATTTGCCAGCGAAACTTGAAATCGAAAGCAAAACCACTTTTGATTTTTATGAACTGAAGATGAGCCATCCAGCCACCGCAGTGCGCTGCGCTCAGTCACGACGCAAGCCAAGCACAGTGATGGCAAGTTAAGCCGAATCACGCGCTGCCAAAGCAAGCTTCGCKCCGTTGCGCTACACGCTGCAGCCGCCTTCCAAGCGCCTTCTATGGAAATATGCCGTTTTTCTTGTTATGACGGTTTTTTTCTTGATTATTTCTTGTACACAGTTGTTGCGGTTGTTGTAGTTGTTTGTAACGTTTAGTTGTTTTTGCATGTAGCGTCGCAGTTGTTCTTACAATTTTGTTGTGTAGAAGCGGCGGCAGGTTTCTGCTCGTTTTCATTTTCATTTGGCCTCTCTGCTGTCGCTGTTGTTGCGACTTTGTTGTTGTTGTCGTTGATCTTTTTGGCTTGTCGCTTTACAACAGTAAAACTTGTACTATAAAAATGTAAGTTTGTGTATGTGTATGTGTGTATGTTAGCGTTTCTGCTCTACGCTTTTGTTGTTGTGGCCACGCTTTAGCTGTTGTTGCTGTCGCTTCTGCTGTTTTGGCTCTACCTCTTCTTGCCGGCCTTTAGGCGCGTTTAGTGCTCGAATTAAAAATTTTCGATTTCGTTTTTCAG